TGGCACCTGCCGGCCGAATACTTGTTCTCGTCCATCTCGGCCGAGGCCCTGCTGTTTTGGGATCACTCAGTTGATTCGGCCCGGGTTAGAGAGATGGCAAGGAGGAGAGGACACTGCGTCCCTCCGTCTTCCCTGGCTTTTCGGGGCCCAACTGAGCCCTCGCCGGCCCGACTCGTCGTCCCTCTGCAAACCGGCGAAACTAGCCCGGGCGAGTTGCAGGAATTTACAGGCGTCTCTTCCCTGGGTCCTACCTCACCTTTTCGCCTTCCTGTCCTCCACCCCAGTGCACTCAGTCACCGGGGCCTTTTGAAGCCGGCCAGTGGCCCCCGGGCCGGGGAGACCGGGCCGCGCTAGGGGAAGAGCAGGTGAAGGGACGCAGACCAGGAAAAAGGTGCCCTCCCGCCCCGACCTTGCCCGAGCATCTGAGGCGCCCCAAGATCTCGCTGATCTTCGGGAGTGTCCGCGGCGCCTCGAGGTTCCCAGCCTTCCGGGTGGTGCCGGGACCAAGTCTGCGGCCCTTTTCTCGCGCTCTTACTCGATTTCGACCGACGGCTGAAGTTTGCCCAAGTCTCTCTCTGGCCCTCTTGGGGTGGGGTGGGGGTGCTGAGCCGCGGTGACTGCAGAAGTCACGGGAGGCGAGCGGAGGCTCCCTCGGGGACCCGGCGGGGACCGGCGGGTGTCCCGGAGACGCTATTGTATCTGCGCTGGCCTCCAACAAAGGCAACGCCCCCTCTTCCTCCCCCTCGGCCGCAGCGGCGAACAACTCGAGGCGATTTACCTCTCAGTGTGCAAAAACAAGGAGCCCTTTGTTGCCCGGACACAGGTTAGGGAAGGGTTCAAGGAGGAGAACAAAAAAGTAAAAGTAGTTGTCGTCACGCCGAGCGGCTGGAGGGCCTGCGCAGCGCCGGCGGCGACAGTGCCCCCCACCCTCCTTCTTTAAGGTGCGGGCGGGTCCTCCCGCCGCAGAGGTTAGCGTGGGTTCCTCGGCTGCAGGTCACCGGCGTGGGCCAGAGGATGTCCGCTGCTTCGCTCAACACAGCGGCCTTTAGGAAACAGGTGGCCTTGAGGCGGCAGAGGGAGACGCGCCGTGAGGCGGGCTGCACGAATGCCGCCGCCTTCTTTTCCCACCAAAACGATGTTTTAAATTCATTTTCCCCCCTCCACAGTGAGGCCGCCTGTAGCCTTACTGTTGTTTCCTGTCTCACTTCCTTGTTGTCGGTTCTCACAGATCAAGGATCTATCTTGTTGGACAAAGACGGAAAGAGAAAACACACGAGACCCACGTTCTCCGGCCAGCAGATCTTCGCCCTGGAGAAGACTTTTGAGCAAACGAAGTACTTGGCGGGGCCCGAGAGAGCGCGCTTGGCCTATTCGCTGGGCATGACTGAGAGTCAGGTCAAGGTGAGAGCGCCTCTGGAGCCGCGAGGCGCGCGGGCTCAGACCGACTCGCAGCGCCCGAGGGAGGGCCCGAGGAGGCAGGGGGGAGTTGAGAGCCGCTGCTAAGGCGCTGGGGGTCTTGCTGGAAGGCAAACCGTTCTTGAACAAAAGAAATCAAGGTCCAGCCTTTCAAATTAGGTTAATCTAGATCGCTAGGGAAACTCGGTCATCATTACAGAATAAAAGCATTACTGCAATGGCCCAGAGAATAGATCAAGCTACTTAGATAGCTTTTCTTTCTATTTATAAGACCTTCAGACTTTTGTTTGCTAATTCACGGTTCAGTAGTTTATAATTTCCTAACAGATCAGCTTTCTAGTGCTTCTGTATTAACTTGCAGATTAAAAAGTAGACCCACAGGATCTAACACTTAGCATAAGTGAACCTGCTTTTAATTTAGAGAAGGCAGTCACTTTGGAAGAGTAGCTTTCCAAAGGAGTTGACAAAATTATTACTGCACCATAAAATTAAATTCTATTTTTAAAAGTTTATAAACAGATTTAAGATATTTCAGTTTATGACACTTTGTAATTAAAGTGTCACTTTATAATTGAGTTGTACAGTGTATTTCTAGAGAATTGAATTTTAGAAATCTTTCTCTAAAAAAAAGTAAAGGAATTGAGCCAGTTGGGTAAATCATCCTGATGATTTCCTGTATTTTCAGCATTCTATTTTGTCCCCTCCCCCCTTTTTTCAGTTTTGTTTCTTTGGGGCTTATGTCTGTTTTCATTAGTTATATTGTTGCTCTTTAAATCAAGCAGGAATAACATTGACCATGTGTACTGGTTATAGGGTATTTTCCCCTGGACAAGCATCATAAAAAACATTTCAGGAGTGATTTTACATGTAGCCATTAGAATATCATCACATTTAAAATTACTTTTGCAGTGGGCTGGTATAAAGCCTATCATGGTAATCTGGAGGTCTTCATTTGTCACCATAAATATGTCTGCATGGCTAGACCTGAATTATTATAGCCATATAAAGATCAAAATATCTTTCTTGATTATTCTGATTCTCTAGATAAAATACATAGCAGAGCAGAAGCATAAAAATAGAATAATTCAATGTCTTTGGAAAACTGGTTGCTCATTAATGAAACTTTAAAATAAGTGTATCAGACACGTGCCAAACATGAACGGGCTTAAAAGTTTTTCTATATTAAGTGAACATCTTAGGCAGAAGCAGTAAATATTAAAATAACTCTTGAAAGAATTGGCACGAAATAGAGAGCTATGTAATTGGCAAAAAAGTCACTTTTAAAAAATAACTGATAATTCTAGCCTTCACTTTGCCTAGTTTTTATGAAAATCTTTAAGGGCTGAAGAGGAAAGAAAAAGTGATCCAGTCAAAGGACTGTGATATTTGGGAGAAACTATTACACATTTTCATGCGTTTGTATTGGTTAGTGTGAGTGATTTGAAGTTTGTATTTTAGTGAAAAACTACATCATACGTTTTAAGTGTAATGGGAACAAGGGGATTTACCTACGTCATTGTGTACATTCTGGCTTCAAATCAGTGAAACAATCCATGTGCGAAAGTGAGGAGAACAGAGTTAATTAGGCAAATGTGCCTTTTCCCACTAGTGACACTGAAAAACTAGTACACTTTAGGTTGTTTGAAATTCTTTCGTCTGTGAAAGCAAACAAGGGATAAAATCACAGGCACTATGGAGAAGTTTTGCGAATGGACAGCTTTTTACACCAGAAAGCAGAAAAGGGAAAGGGAAAGGGAACACTTTTTTTTTTTTATAAGAAACTCATTTTAAGCTTCTAAGTTTTGCTTTTCTTCTCTTCTGGGAAGTCACTCTGACGGCCTCCTAGTCTTGTGTTACTATCGCCATGGCAACGGCGGCAGCCCCTCGGGGCCGGTACCTCTCGGGGGACCCGGGTGCAGGGGATTTCGAGGCCCGGCCCTGGAGGTGATGAAGGAGGGCGGGGGCCAAGGGGACGCAGGGTCCGGCCACACCGTCGCTCACGGCGTCCCGCTGTCGCGGCAGGTCTGGTTCCAGAACCGCAGGACCAAGTGGAGGAAGAAACACGCGGCCGAGATGGCCACGGCCAAGAAGAAGCAGGACTCGGAGACCGAGCGGCTCAAGGGCGCCTCGGAGAACGAGGAGGAGGACGACGACTATAACAAGCCCCTGGACCCCAACTCCGACGACGAGAAGATCACGCAGCTGCTGAAGAAGCACAAGCCGGGCGGCGGGCTCCTGCTGCACGCGTCCGAGGCCGAGGGCGCGTCCTGAGCGCGGACCGGGCTGCGCAGATGTACATATCTATTTTTCTAACCCAGAAGTGTGGCGGGAGGAGGGGACCGGAGCGAGACTCGGGGTGGACCAGGAGGCCGCGGCCACGCGGTGCACTGCTGTAAGGACGCAGCCGGGGTCCCCACACGCGTCCGCGAGCGCCCGGCTCTCCGTCCCCTGCGGGGAAGGGAGAACCCCACGGCGGGGGGGCCCTCGAGCCACGCGTGCAACCCCCCGATGGGACAGGGACGTTGCCCCAGCTCGCTGCTGTGCGACTAGAGCGACCTGTTGAAGGCCCTGTAAATAAATCGTGAGTCACACTGACTAGAAGTTACTTTATTGTGAATATTTAAAATGTAAAATGCTTTTTTGGAATTTGGTATAAAAAGATGGATCTCCTTCCTTCCAAGCCCTCCTTTCGAAGACCTATCCACACGACCACTTCCTTTTATTTGAAATTTAATTCGGGAATTGCAGGAATGTGCTTACCGTCCCCAACCCCCTCCATTCGCTCCTCTCCGTTTGGAGTTGCTGAGCCTCAGTTTCCCTTTTTGCCTCCTGGTTCCGCCCTACCCCCTGCCCCCGGGGCCCCCGCCCTGAGGACTCGAAGCAGAAGATGTGGGAACCGGGGAATCTCACATCTGCCCCTCTGGTCCCCTCTGAAATTGCACAGTCGTTTGTTGCTATTTATTAGTGATTTAAAGAAAGGATTGGGGAGGGAGGGGCCACATAGCTCGTGTTTAACTCCTTTCTGATAAAAATGCGTGTTAAAGTAGATGGTGGGGATTGTTACAGCCGCTCCGGGTGAGAACATAAAAATCCATTTAGTTGCTGTAATTGAATTTGAAGTGTTTTGTATCATAAGAATACTATAGAGTATGTAAATTGTTTTCTTTTTTAAGCTAATAACGGTGATATATTAGCATCTTTAACCTTTATTAATTTATATAAGGAATTTGGTTTGTAAAGAGAAGAAATCCCCTTTGCAAGACCAGTTAAATGTAATGCACTTTCTGTTTCAAAGGATAAATCAAATTAAACAGTTTGAAGACGTCTGTTGCCTTGAGTGAAAGGGTACAGATCACCTGATCTCATCCGAGATCTCAAATAATAAAAGAAAACCACACACAAAAAAAGCTATATTGGTTTCTTGGGTGAAACAGCTGTTTTATTTTATTTTATTTTATTTTTCTTTCCATTTTGGAAGAGTGGGGTCAGATCTCTCATTCTCCTGGATGGGGGAGAAAAAAGAAATGTGGCTGTACTCCTAGCGCTCCTCTGAGAGACCCATCCAAGGGCTGCTGCTTCTGATGTCTGTGTCCTCTAATTTTTTCCTGATCGCTTTTTCCTTGCAAGGAAGTCCTTAGGGAATTTGGGAAGCTCATTTCCATATATCCAAGCCAGCTCCACAGCCAGCCACTACTTCAATCAGCCCGCCCGGAGCAGGCCAGGAGCGGCTCAGCCCAACTGATGATGCTAGCATTCTCAACTGATGCTAGCAACCCAGAAGGCTGCAGAAATTTGTGGCAAGATAGGAACCTTCCTAAACCTTTCAAGGAAGAAGGGTTCATTTAAAGAAAGCTTCTTTTAGTAGACCAGAAAGCCTTTATTGTTAAGGAAGCAAAAGTGTAGCTTTCCCAGCAGAATTGGTGGAAAAAATATTTGGGAATCCCAGCGAGAGGGCTGTAACACTGCAGTCCTGGGATCTTTTTGTTTTCAGACAGTCACAGGCTCAGTGAAATATCGTTATACCCTCAGTGTGGCAGGTTAATGAGCTTGTGTTCCAAGAGAGAAAAATCAATAGGATTCAGTAGATTCTTCAGGCCAATGTTAGGCACGGGAAGTGAGAGTCTGTTTTGCTACCCAGATTTTTTTTTTTTTAAGATGAAAACAACTTTTCACAAATTCAATAAAATGAAATCAGCTGAAGGAAACTCTCATAGAATACATCCCCAATTACATGGTTTGGTAGAAAGGAAGAATGCAAATCTGTCTTCTTTCTGTTCTCTGTTTTGCAAAGTCCTCAACAAGTTTCAGACTCTTCTGCAGGTCCATCTTAGCACCAGTAGCATAGTGACTAACCCAAAGAAGACTACCGGGTGGTGTGGTTTCAATTCTGCCATAAACCATTCCCTGTCTCCCTCTCCCTCCTTTCTTCTCTTTCTCTTTCTTTCCCTCATTCTTTCTTTCCTCCCTCTTTCCTTTCTGTTGGCTTTCTTTTTTTGCTGTTATGAGAGAGAACAAGACAGGGAAGAAGCCTGTCATCCTGCAACTCCACTTAACTGCAACAAATAAAAATCTTTTTTGTATTTAATATTTTAAACCCTAACCCAGTCCTCTTCTGCCCTGAAAAGCCAAGCAACTTTATTCATTCTTCCTAAGAAAACAAGAACCCACAGCATGATTAGAAATGTGTTACTGCAAGAGTAGTATTTAGCAGCCAAAGCAGCAGTGAGACAGTAGTTATTAGTCCCAGAAAACTAGAAATGAAGATTGAAGGTTTTTCAATAAGTAGCTGGGTGGGCAGTTGATGGCTCTTATTCTGAGTTGGAAGAGTGGAAAGTCACCTTCCACAGTCCTTTACAAAGCATTTGCTGTGAGCTCACTGCCCTTAAGTGTGAGCACCAGAGAGGACTGCAAGCAGAGACCTGGACTCTGCCGTGGGCGAACGTGCTAGGCTGGCAGGGCCTGCAGCTTGCCAGCCCAGGGTGCTCTGCACTCAGAGGTAGGCTGGGGCTGGGCTGCCCTGGCACTGCTCCTCCTTTTCCACTCGACTGCAGCGGCGGCTGGAGCTTTCCAGCTCATTTCCCTCTATCCAGGGTGCCAGCTGGTCACCAGTTGCAACTGGCCCCTAAAGCTGGGAGTGGGGGACAAGTGGGTAAGTCGGTGGATGACAACTCTCCGAATTCCCTTTATTTTGGTTGGTTTGGTTTCCTTCTAATTCTGTGTAGCAGGGAAGTTTTTTGTAAGAGTTAGGATGGGGAAGCCAGGTCATACTCGGCAACACTAAGGATGGAGGGTAAGAATATTTCTCATTTTGGCCCAAACATTTTATGACATTAACAACCATCAGCACCCATCACAGCCAAAGGGGTTACAGTTTAAAAACAGCAAAGTCACAACATAAGGCTTGACAGACCACTGCTTTTTAAAATGCTCACAGGCAACCAAAGTGTCAATAGCGAAAGACAAAAGGGGAAAAACAAGGGTCTGTATGTGTGTGGATAGCTTTTATACTTTTGTTCTGTGTGTTTTCTTTCCCTAAAAAGGAAACATCACTGAGGCTTCCTGAGGGATGTGGAGAGGAGGGGAGGCCCTGGACATAGCACAGGCCCTGGCTGCTCCCTGTTCCCCTAAATCCAAACTCGGTTCTGCTACTTGGTGACTAATTTTCCCCTTGGCACACCCAGGATTCTGTAACTCAGTGCTCCTTGCCCCTCCCTGAACCCAGTCCCAGAGCATCTTTCCAAGCTGTTGACCAGTTTACTTCACTTTTCCTCTTCCCCGCTTGAGGGCGGTGGGAGGAGGGGCCAAGGGAATCACTCTGGGGAGCCCTCTTGCTGGGCGCGCAGACCATCCTGGAGGTGTCTCTTCTCAGAAATACTGGACCAGGAAACAGACACCCAGGGCACATTTGCAAGCTTTTGGAGTCTAACATCATGCAAATGAATGTGGTATTAAGCTAGCCTCAACTTGGGGAGCTCCACAATGTATGGTTGGAGTGAGACACACACACACACACACACACACACACATACACACATACACACTCTAGAGGTGAAATTCCACTTGGGGACTCCTAGCACTGAATGGCTTAAAGGGACAGTGGCTCCTTTGTTAATCACAGACAATAGGATTGTGTAATAACAGTGGAGGTAAGCAACAGATTCCATTTATAAACTCTATTTTAGGCTAATTGGAGGAGCTTAGTCAGCCCTAAATTTCCTCCCTCTTACTGCGCACACAAATATGTGCAAACGTGCTTCTGCTCCCTCCTCAGTAGAACTTTAAAAAATAAGCCAGTTTTTCAGCGCATTCCCTTTTTTTTGACAGCAAAGTGTGTGTTCTGCTCTGCAGCTTTTAGATTGCAACTTCAGGGAGCCATTCGTTTGTCCTGCGTCACGGAGTCCCCTTCAGTGTGTGCTAAAAGGCACAGTAATCTGCTCCCTTCCTTTGTTAATGGAAAGTCCCAGGAGAGGGGTGATGGGGTGGAGGATTTTCCTGAAATTCTGCTTTGGGTGTTGGTGTCGCCTAGGTGGGTCTGGAGTTTCTCACAGACAGGACATTTTGTCTGAGAGCGAGTTCACTCTCTCTGGCCTTCCTCTTCCAACAGCCGGCGCTACAGCTGGGATGTTTCCGTGTGCATCATTTATTCCAAGGCCCCGGAGCTGGCATTTCTACTGGAGAGCACACGTGAAGACTTATGGCAGTGAGCGAGATAGCTCTGTGGTGGTTCTTGCCTACTGGTGCCTGGCCAGAAGGCTGAAGCAGAGGCCCAACTCGAGGGCTTCTATTCCCCGGACACTTTGAATAATAAGGGCTGGTTTGGACAATGATGCATTCAAAGAAGGATCCCTTCCTCTTTGTAGGGAAAGAGTTTGTGCTATGCAATTTCAATTGGTGCACATTATTTTTTATGAAAGAGTTCTGTTACCTCTATAATATTGCGGCTTCTGTCTACCTTCAGGTAGGCAAAATAAATGTTGAGGCCTAATCAGTCTAGTTATTTGGCAGATGCGTCAAATTTAGAAAGGACACCAGTGCACATTTCCTTTCTTCTCCATAATACACAGTTTTATTTTGCGACATACACGAGCTGTGAAAAATTACAAATGATCGGTAAGCTACTTGGGTCAAATGTTCCTGAACCAACCACAAGAAAGTCAAGGTTGCTGAGAATCCACTATCTCGCATGTTACCATGCAGTCTATCATTTCCAAGCAAAGGCATTGGATGCGTTTTCACCCCTCTGCTCTGAGACCATACCTGGGTCCATAGTTTGTGGTCCCATCTGCAGACATCATTTGCAGCTTTGCTCCTTGCTTTTGAAGCTATGGCTCAGCTCTTACAAAATTATTTTGTAAATTTTGTTTTCCCTTCATAATTTTTCTTCCCTCCTTGTGCTATTCATTGATCTGCAAGGATGTGTCACATTTTTCCCCCAAAATCTAATGGTCTCAAAGGAGCGAGAGGGTCTGAGAAGCCCATTATTTTTGCTGAAATCAGATCAGATGACTACTGAGAGCAGGAGTTGGGCCTCCGTCACAGCTACATCCTTTACAGGCTCTCTTGTCACTGTTAGGGTTAAGGGTCATGAGTGCTCTGTGCCTCTGTCTTCTTATCTGTGAAATGGGCAGGTAATGGCACCTACTCCCTAGCACTGTTGGGACCATGAAGCAAGGTCATCTATGTAAGGTCTTAGAGCTGTGCCTGGCACACAGCAAGCCAGGAAAGTCCTCATCACCAGCCACAGCAGGAGGAATGAGAGAAAGGCCATGTTTTTAAAGGTTGCTTTCACTCTGGTCCTACTGTCTGCTCCAGGACAGCAACTCAACAAAGGAGAAGGCAAAGAAAGCGAAAGTGGAGAGGAAAGCAGTGAGAGCTTTTATATAGGCTGTTTTGAAACTTACAGCCTAACTGCCTGAGCTGGTTTTAAAGTATTTCCAAGTATTCTAGGATATTGGTACACACCTATAATCTCAGCTATGCAGGAAGCTGCGGCAGGAGGGTTGCAAGTTTGAAGCCAGCTTGGGCAACTTAGCAGGGCCTGTCTCAAAAGGCAAAGACAAAAAATAAATGAAGGAAAGGGAGGGAGGGAGAAAAAAGGACAAGGAAGAGAGAGAGAGAGGAAGAAGAAGAAGAAGAAGAAGAAGAAGAAGAGGAAGAGGAAGAGGAAGAGGAAGAGGAAGAGGAAGAGGAAGAGGAAGAAGAAGAGAAGAAAAGAAGAGAAGAGACTGGCCAAATCCTCCTGCAAAGGTGTGGGCTGTATTTAGTGACTGGCTTCTGATGAAGAGTGTGGCTGTCATCTTCATCCTCCCTGCTGGGTCACTGGCTCAGAAGGAAGGTTGCTGCCTGTTTTCCTCCTTCTGAGTCCATGAGTCCGCACAGCCTCCACTCAGCAGG